GGTTCACCGGCAACTCACTGGACGGTGTGACTGACTTGTTTATTAAGATAGATCGTGTTGTTATTTCCATAAATAATAACATTACCTGTCCCATTGGAAATTTTCGTCATGTTATAATGTTCTTTGTTTTTCAAAGTATTTTGTCTTATAGGACTTATAGCATGATATGGTTTGGAAATTTTGGAGACCCCTTTAGTAAGAGTTAACAACATTTTGCTATAATTTTTATTCATAGTATCTATATTTAGTAATCCTTGTTTTTTTACTCCGTTCATTTTTTCCTTGGTCCCATCAATTTCTTTTAATATTGTTTTATTTTTTTGTATAGTCGTTTTATTCTTGGGTTCGTTAAAAAAAAAAAAAAATTAAAAATTATAATAATTTTTATACATTCTAAACTATTAGTACTTACCAACTGCGAAATTGATAATATATATATATTAACAGCCAAACTAGAAAATAATAACACTAATATGATATTTTTCATGTTCATTTTTTTTTTTTTTTTAATATCTACGGTATAATTATCTTCAATCTAAAAATAAAATACGTAACAATATTATTTCCAGCAACAAATTACTAGAAAAACATAATTATATTATATACTTACATCGATTATACAAGAATTCATTATTTCGAATAAAACACAATTTCGAAGAACGAATTACACAATGGTTATGTATTTAAATATTTGTTTAGCTTTGAACGTAACCAAGTATGATTGTTGGCTTTTGTTTATTATTAGCCAGGTTACATAATATATTAAAAAAATATAATAATAATATAAAGAATTTATATATAACCGATATTCGAGGCGGCCGTGTTGCCTATACGAGACTTGTGATTGGCACTCGCAATAATCATCAATTAACGGTTCACATGTAGTGACTATAAGATTGTATGCCACTCTCTCATTATCAAAAATATAATATCCGATAATGAAATTCAATTACGTACATGACATACCGCCTTGAAATACCATTTCAAATCTACAGCCCAACAATATAAATTATGAGTTTTTTTTTTTGCGTATAGCGCTTATTTTCGCGAGTAAGCCTGAAAGCCTAGTTTGGACGCCTATTTGGCAGAATTTTTAGTTGGGCACCCGTAGGTTTCTGCCATGCCCGGTTGGGGGATTTGGGAAAATTATGAGTTCAATTACTGGGTAACGTTTCTATAATTTACATTTTTTTTTTTTTTTTTAAGTAAAATACTAAAATGCATGGTTAAAGAAAATTTAAAAAAAAGTATTGATTTAATTTAACAATGTTATTTTATGTTTTTCAAAATAATGTTTTTATGTGTCTAAATTTTAGTTTTTAATAATTTAAAAATTAAATTTTTCACAATTAGAAATCAACAAAAAAAATTAAATAAATATTAATTTAAAAATATTATGATTATTATTTTTATCCTGTTTTTATTTTTTTTTTTTTTAATCTGGTCACCCTAGTTAAATGCCCAAAATATTGGTTGAAATTAGTGTTAATATATTATCAACTTCTTTTTACTACTATTGAAATACTGTAATACGTTTTTTTAAGTTAGGTAAATATACTAAACATCAAAGGTTGAAAAAACTGAACAGTCAATCATAAGAAAGTCATGATATTGATTATGTTCACGTTCAACATCATTTTTTAAACATTTTAAGTGGTGTACACTTATACATACGATTACATTAAATATTCAGTATATATACACATAGTTAGTAAATGGTTTTCAGATTTTAAATAAAAATAACACCGAATGTCACTAAGCTGTACTATAAATACCGAGTCGTCTAAAAAAAAAAAAAAAAAAGTTTGACAAATATTTTATTTGCAACTTTTATATTATGCGAAAAAATAAAGTAAAATCATTAACAGGTTCGTAATATAATAATTTTTACTATATCCAAACAATAATAATAGTATTATAATAATTGTTTTATATATAAAAAAAAAAGATAATAAATCGTGTTATGTTTTTCTTTTCTTTTTTTAATCTCATTAATTTATAAAACACACATATTATAAATATCGAGAACAATAATCTTATCATAATAATAAAGTAGAACAATAATGTAAATATTACTTAGGTAAAACTGTATAATATTGTTATGTATTCGCATCACTAGTAAAACTATAATATTGTAAGTGTATATAATATAAATGTATAATATACTGTGAAACTTAATGCTGCTAACTTAAATTATGTTTAAATAACCAGATTGGATTTTATATATATAATAAGCTTTTATTCCTGATATTGTATTATACTATAGTATACATAAATAATATTCTACAATAGAGCACGGTACGATATTGTACAGTACAATAAAAATGTATATTATTTATTCTTTGGTATTTCTAGCCTAGTAGTTTCTATATATAATTAGAAATGCGCGTATCATATGTATTAGTATAATAAATATTGTACAGGATGTACGTAATAAGTATATAATAACAATAAACAAATTAATAATAAACATTCGTAATATAACGTTTGGTTTTCGAGCCAACGATCTCGATAAATCAAAAATCGATAATAAAAATAATTCAACAAACAAACACGACATACATTAATATAGTAGTAGTGTAACACACTGTAATATAATATTATTGTGATATTAACACGACACAACCATAAGGCTTAAAAATGTCTACTAAACTATTTTTATTTCTCGCTATATTATTTTAGACTAGAAACGTGTATAATAGTGATGGTAGTGTTAAAAATTACATATTTACAATATATAAATAATAATAATAATAGTCAAAATAATTACAATAACACAAAGCTGCGAGGAAAAAAGACATGAACAACTGTAAGACATAACGTAAAAAACATCAGCAGAATATCAATAGGAGGCACTTCCACAAATTAATAATGAGAGGTTTTTTTTTTTAAATATATTGGCACAGACCAGGCGCGGATCCAGAACACACTCGTATTTTAGAGGGTGTGGGGGATGTGGAGAGGATCTTCAGTAAAATTTAGGTAAATATTATTATTTAAATTCCAGTTTATCAATACAATAAAATAAAAAATGACCTAACCTTATAGGTTAAATTAATTTTACATGAAATATAAAATATTTTATACAAAAGAATTAAAATATTATGAATTAATTTCGTCTTTTTGAATAATGTTTATCAGTATAATAAATTAGATTAGTAATATAAATGGTTTAATTAATATTGATAGATACATGATATAATATGATAAATAATAAAATATAAATATGCTACATGAAAAAAAATATTAAAAAATGATTACAGAACAAAATCATTTCATTTTTTGGATTTGGCAAACCTTTGCTTTCCCTTCCCCCTTGGATCCGCGCCTACCACAGACTATGTAAAAAGGTAGATAGTAATAAAGTTAATAATGTATTCAGTGAAAATTAAAACTGTGGTGTCTACAATTTATGATCATACCCATAAGGTCATACACGTGATTTAATAAAAAAAAAAAAAAAAAAAAACAGAAATGTGTATCTCTACTTATTTAAACATATAATATAGGTACTCGGCTAGTGAAGTATAGTGTATTTGGATATGCCTTCCGAGAATGGCGTATGTGCAAACAAGACAAAGTCATATCATATTGAATATACAAAATTTTATATTTATTGTACACAAACGACTTGAATTCTCCCCGTCGAGAGGAATACAGATTTCATAACCACTTTACAACTACGTCTGCAGTTGACAGTTTTGATCGTGTCTCGATATTTTATACGCGCACATACAATAGCTGTATTATAACTTAAACAATTATAAATCTATTGTAACGTTATGCACGCAGCGACGGCAATAAAATTAAATGCACGGACGTCAGTAGATCGACTTGTTAAATAGTAAATATTTTATCCAAAAACTACAATTATTACGAAAAAAAATTATCCGCGGATAAACGCGCCGAACAAACGCTTTCGAGTCAAACGGCGCAATAGGATGTATAATATTATATATTTTAATCAACAGTGTGAAAACACAAAAATACGAGTAGGTAGTATATATTATTATGTATTTCCAAAATTTGAAGAAAAAAAAACATGATCCAAGAATTTTTAGTTGGGCACCCGTAGGTTTCTACCATGCCCGGTTGGGGGATTTGGGGAAATTATGAGTTCAATTACTGGGTAACGTTTCTATAATTTACATTTTTTTTTTTTTTTAAGTAAAATACTAAAATGCATGGTTAAAGAAAATTTAAAAAAAAAGTATTAATTTAATTTAATTTATATTATAATTATTATTTTTATCCTGTTTTTTATTTTTTTTTTTTAAATCTGGTCACCCTAGTTAAACGCCCAAAATATTGGTTAAAAAAAACATGATCCAAGAAGTTTACTCTGAAATAGATACATTTTTTGACTGTAGAACGATTTTCTTCAATACAGGTATATAACAATATGTATAAATTCGGTGGTTTTAATTTCACAATATGAATTACGTGTAAGAAATACTATCGGACATTTTTTAAACATACTGAATACCGAAAAATCAAGTGAGAACATATTTTAAACCCAAACGGAAACGTTTCACATTGAACATCTCGATGGTTTGACTAACTTGTATTAAATTATTGTCAATTGACGATTTTCTACGATCGTTTTCGTTTTTATTGTATTTTTTCATAGGACAATCAGACTGGTTTTGAAAGGTCGTAATATCTCATTAGAAAGATGAATGCGCACTGCGCATGTAAACCTGTTTCCGATTGAACTGTGATTCTTTTTTACAAGTTTCAACCTACAATTGCGATTGAATACTGTTTTCTAAACAATTATTGTGACTATAGTTAAATTGGTACTGACGTCGAACTACTTGTAAATAAATTGCTTTTAAAAAGTATCAGAAACAAAACCACATCAAAACCACCTACACGGCGAAATTCGATTTCCATATTTTTAAGTGTATCACCGTGTTCTAAATATTCTTAAAATAAAGGTTTTTCAACGCACATTTTCGTTTTATTTTAACTTTTACTTTTCAGATCGTGTGTAATAGTTTATTTTTTCAAATTATTTATTAAATACTCCTAAAACGTGGTAATAATATGTTTGCGGTCAATAAAAATCGTTTTGGATGTCATCCGTTAAAACTGGGCCTGGATCACATTACACAGCGAGTTTCGATACTGAATAAAACACAACTTAAAATATTAGTCGGTTTTTCATATAAGCCAGTTTTATATGTTTTTAGTTTAAATTAATTTAAATATTATCATTTACGCGTTATCAACCATCATACCATATTGTTATAACGTATTGTGGTTATTTGAAAGAATGAAAAATAAGTTTCGATAAAGCTATAATGTATTTGGTTTTTTTCACTGAAGAATCGATTTGATTAACCGTTTGACTCTCTAAAGCGGATGCGATGAAAACGAAACGATGAACACAATATTTCTATGGGACTACTAAAATCATTATATTACGATATTGTTGTGATTTATAATCGCGTTTATGCGATTTAAACGAGCGGAACTCGCATAAATATATACGAAATCCGAGCGGTCGTTATAGGAGGGAAAACGGGGCACAAAGAACAGGACGAATGTATCCGCGGAGCTGCAGAAGAGGAGGTTGAGCGCGCCCGGACACACTCTCTGCTGCGCTCAGACACGAGAAACGACTAGCAGCACGGCGCGGAGGGGAAGCCCCAGGCATCGGATCTCTACTTGCAGCCGACCGGTCGTGATGTACGTGGTATGAAGGACCCACGCGATCGCAAGAAAACTTCCAGCATCGCCCGGGTCGGGAGGACGAAAAATTCGTGGACAACAACAATACTATGTTTTGACGGTTAACGATATGGCGATAATATTTTAATGCCTATATAGATTAGGCGAGTGCACGGTCGAACGAGACTTTTCGTCGGTCCGAAACGGGGAAATGGGTTTGGGGGTGGTTGGAGGGTAGAGTGGTAGTTGGTCGATCGGTGACGGGGCGTAACGAGAATGTCGCGCTGTGTACGTCATTGCCTCGTCGTATGATAATCGCGTTTTCGCGGAGGTACTGAGAGCAAGCGGCTTATGAGAAAATCGGATCGGCGACAACGATAACAATTATTATTATTATTATTATCGTACGCGTCGAGACCATTTGCGCTAGCGAACGTTTGCCCTAATCACCGACCGAAGTTTTGGACGGCGTGTGGCGTCGCCGACGCATTTTCGATTACCACAAACCGTTTTCGGATTGTCTCGGAAACGAAATAACGCACGCGAGCCGTATCGGTGAAAACGGTCGTCGGCAAACGGTTTGCTCTCGTTACCTCCACAAAAACGCGCGTTACTTCGTAGGTATTATGTTATATTATAATATTATCGTTGCTGAATATCGTAATAATATTATTATTATTATGCTTTCACTAACGCGCCGTACGACGACGGCGGTGGAGGAGAGAGGGGGCGATGGAGGCTGTGGCGTGGGCGGTGTGGGTGGTGGTGGTGGAGGCGACGGCTGCGGAATGGGCGCGAAAACTCCGCAAGTGCGCGTCTCAACGTCGGGCGGTGGCGACCGCGGCCGCGGCCGCGGTGACCACGACCGAGAAGGACGCGGCGGCCGCACTGGTGGTGGCCGCGGATTCGGCGTCCTGAGCTTTCGGGGCGCCGTCCACGCGGCGGTCGCCGCCGCCGTCTTCGTCTTCGGCCATCGATGACGCGGAGGACACGGCCGCCATCGTGTCGCCGAGCGGCGGAAGGTCGTTGCGGTACTTGTAGGCCACCGACTTGCGGGCGGCGTAGTACCGGCCGGCCGGCCGGTCGGCTTTCCAGTGTCCGTTTCCGGCACCGTCGCCGGGCACGCGCAACCGGCACTCCACGTCCACGGTGTTCCGGCGGCGGTTGTGCTGGTTGTGCGGCTTGCTGTTCCGGTACTCCTCGGCGTCCTTGAGCGACACCACGCTGGTGGCGCGCACCGCGTACTTTTTGTACTCCCCGTCCCCGTCGCCGCCCCAGTTGCCCCTGTACCGTTTGTTCCTGTTCGCCAACTTCGGCTTGGCGGTGGTCGTGGTCGTGGTCGTGGTCGTGGTGGTCGATGACGTCATCGTGGCGTTGGCAGAACCGTCGTTGCTCTCGTCGTCGTCCCCGTCGTCCACCGTGACCACCGACGTGACGGAATCCAATGACCTGTCCGGACAGAAATCGACGAAACGTTTTAAAATCATAGCATAATATTAAATGACCAACACTGTCGGGAAACGGATCGTCTTACCGTGAAGGTTCTCAAAGCGTGGGACGCGACCCTCCGGGGGGCCGCGAAAACTTTATGGGGGGGGGGGGGGAAGACGCTAGAAAATTAATTTAAAAATCGACGTTGCATTGGTAGGACAGAAAAACATTTATGAAATGACCGTAATAACTAATAATAATAAAATCGACCGATTAATTTAAAACCTTTTATAAAAAATACATTTTATTTTAAAATAAATTTGTATTATTATTATCGATATTAATCTACCTATAGGTTGCTGTTTGTTTTTAATTTTTTGTTACTCTAATTATTAAAATTATTTTTTACGAGGGGTGCCCGGTTTGGGGTTGACCAAAAGGGGGGGGGGATTGGCCTGAACAGTTTGAAAACCTCTGTCTTAACGAGATCGTTTTTCATAACGTAAGTATATACGCGTGGTCACTGTTTTTGCTTATATCACGGTTTAAACAAACGAAATGCACGAAAAATTGATTAAATTTTTTTCAAAATTATTAGCACATCTGGCTTGGTTATTATCTAAATTATATATGACAATAGGTAGGTATTTAATTTATTTATTACAGATTGAACGTAGTTATTGTAGGTACAAAGTTCATCACTGCTGAACTTATATTTACATTCGAAAATATGTACCTATATTACTATTATTTATTTCCTATGTAACCGCAGGTCTTCAGTAACAAGAAGTATATAAAAACCAAAAAACGCCTAACTTTGAGCAGCTGCAACTCGTTAACGGTTAAATGGAAACTAATAATTATTATAACGCTAAAATTCTTAAAAAATAGCTCTATTACTATACATGGTCGCCATTTGAATATCAAAAGCTTCATTATTAAATATAAGCGTGAAAAAAATTAAAATTTAAAAAAGTCAACGCATTTTGAAATAATGAGCGTTCAATTATAAAAGAATTCCCCTGTATAAATTAATAAGGTATATTTATATATCAAGTGCTGAAGTTCAACCACGCCAACGCGGTGTCTAAATCACTGACGTAGTTCTGACGTAGGGAGAATAATAGGGATAGATCCCTCCAAGGCCTTTTTTTTTCATCTTGTATGCATTTACTTATACTCGATATAAAATTATTTGATTACAAATATAAAATTACCCATATTATGTTGTAATTATGGATATAATATGCAATATAGCACTATAAGGACATGGTATGGCGAGGAGTTTGGACGCAGTCACCGAATGGTGCTAATGACCTGAGTAGTAGAATTCATAATAATTACATTTCTGTATAAAATTTAACTTAACATAGAATTATGTTTAAAAAGATAATAAACCTGTTAGAGGGTGTAGGGGGATAAGCTGCCACTTTATGTTTATCCGATAAATTATACATCATCCCTAGAACAAAATCATGACTACGCCACTGGTCTAAATCATGATTTTATTTGAAATTACATAAGACGATTTAGAAAACTAAAAACCCCGACTGCTAAGAAAAACCACGATTCAAATATTAACCATAAGAATAAAAGAAATTATCGCGAGAGATGGTTAGAAATCCATAAGTTATATTGTTTTTTATTTCCTTTTCCGGCGAATTCACGATTAAATACTACATATCCATACTATATAGACTACAGAAATGTAATGACAATTTTGTGATTTTTATATTCGACATTTAAAAGTGACACAGACATAGGTTTTTTATTTTTATACATCAAATTATTAATTGTTCGTTCAACATTTTAAATCATTACCGCAATTAAGTATATTTAAGTGTAAAACTGTCATGTTGGACAAACCGCAATCCGTGCGTATATATTGTGCGGCATGACGAGATCGGCTTTCACGCGACTAAATTTTTTAAAGGGAAATTTCGATATAGGTACTTGAAATTATACACCACAGCATGATATGATTTGAAGCTGAGAGATGTCTCCATTACGCGCAACTGATGGTTTTCGCTTAACCCAACCCCTAACGTATCAACGTAGAAAAAAAAAATCGTCATTAATTTCGAGCGTGTTTGCGATCACGTGAACACGCGTATTTTTGGTTTAAAATACTACCCTCACAATTACAAGGTAGTTTAACCCACGTAATTGGTATTTTGTAATTAAATACGGATTTCGTGTGGGCGCAGTGTGTGCAATATACCACCATGTTTATTTTGTTGCCGCCAAAGATAATAATCCGGGTAAAACGACAACAAAGTCTAACGAATCTACAGGACCACACACACGAGCACGCATTGTCTTATCTACGTTTGAAGTGTGTCTGCGTTCAATAACAATCACTGGGCTGAATATTGCACGTACAAAATATTGTTTCGCATAACGTCAAATAGTTAATGACATTATTTCCTACGAGGGAGATAGCTGGTAATGGATTGGATTATCTTTACCGTTCACGATAATAATAATTATGTGTGTCGTTGTTGATTACACAATTACTTTGCCACACGTGTTGAAGTATATTGCATTAGAACCGATGGAATATATTAATTCTGTTTAGGAGGTAAATGAAATGTTTACCTATATGAGGTACCAAAGCGATAATGTATAGGTACCAGCTATTACTTATTGCGACACGAGGGATAATACGATGAAATGGAATTTTATCTGAACACTGATGCACGATAATATTTTGTGTCTATATGATTTAAAAAAAAGCAAACCACATATTTCGAATGTTTTTTTTTCCTTTACATTAGCTAACAGCTTTCTACATTGATGTGCATTCTTCTTACGGTACATCAAGAACATCCGATTTTTCCGATTTTCTACCTATTATAGCGGGGTGTCTGTTGTGTGTACAAAATTCAACTTGTGAACGTCACTGTTCTTGAAAAACTAAAAAAAAAAAAAACCTGCCCAATTTGGTATAGTTAGAGTTGTCGAACATATTTAAGCGGTGTTTTTTTTTTCTGATAATTGTACTGTAAATGTAGTAAGCGTATCCAATCTGTACATTAAAAAAATACCTATACAACATAATATAAACGTAAATAACACCATATAGGTATATTATGACAATTAGATAAATACCTGCACAAAATAGCTACGATTTCACTAAAATGTACATAGGTACATATTATAAAATGCAGAACTAACGTGCGGTTGTTAATCGCACGATGACGATGACGGAGTTAAGTAAATTGTAATGTGTACATAGACACTATTTATACACTCTCAATCGATCTGTTTTTCGGAAAACGAGAACTGCGTTTAAAACCAAAGACATCCGTAACCTCAAACCCAACATATTACGTATAGTGCTTTTACCCGTGGGTTATACGGAATTTAATTATTTCGGGTGTTTGCAGCGTGCCTTTTGTCGTCTGCGTCGCCGACGGACACAAGTGGTATTGTTTTATTATAACCATGGCAGAAGAACATTAATAGCGATTGCGACAGTGTATACTAAGGTCGGTGGGTGGAAGTAGGAATTATATAACTTGGTAGGTAACTCCTTTATTAAAAACAAAAATCTTTAATAAAAAAAAAAAAAATCGAAAACGACGTAAACTTAAACCGCTAAAGTGCTTAGAAATGTAAGAGGAGAAATAATTCTATATCGCAGTGGATATATATATATAATATGTATATATAATACGTACACTCCGTTCACCCAAATGCTCATGGACGGCTCGGGATGCATGCCGGCGGCGTAACATGTGATGTTGATTTCGGTCGGCCACTTTTTCGGGTTAGTCGGTGCGGCGCTGCTGCTTGACAGCGGCGCTAATGTCGTGAAATTCACATCGCCACCGCTGCCCTCAGAGATATCGTCATCGTCGTCGTCGTCGTTATCGTCGACGGATATTTTGAAAATTCGTTCCGGTGCTATAAAAAAAAAAAACAACAACAACAATGTTTAACAAAATAAAACCAAAAATCAAATTCGTACTTTGAAATTCTGAGATTCTTTTTTATTGCATATTTTAAGGGAACGTTAATAATTTGTTAGATTCTGAAATAAATTAGTTTATAATATTATCTGAAAATCGTCAATGAAATAATTTGTTTGGCAAATCTTAGTGTATTTGAAATAGGTTTATCGGAATTTAACGTTTTTCATCGGCAATTAATGTTATTTTCCTACAAGCTATGAGGAAATCATTGAGATTTTTTAGTGAATCACGTCAATAACCAAATTTTTTCATAAAAATAACAAACTTAATTGGATGCTGGATATTTATGAATTATGATTGTGTGCTGTTTGCCTGTTACTGAACAAGTCAGGTTCAGGTTTAAATAGTATGCGCAAAAACACTGATCGAGATTTTTAATTTTTCGATTATCACTAAAAGTACCAGCGTTGCCATTGCAAGACAATAAAAAATGACGATTACAACAATAAACGTTGTACCTGTAGCGGCTGTAGCCATGGGACTAACAGGTTGTATAATAGTAAATGTCACGGAAGTTCTTGTAAAAACAAACAAGTTAAAATATAATATAATGATAAGACATTGTTTTAAATTTATAATGCTATTATAAATATCTATATTAATTTTCCGTGACATAATAATTAAACCGATCTTAATATCGATAACATTATTATGTTATATACTTGTATTATGTAGACATATTTCTCCTTCCGACAAAAAAAAAAAGTCTTCATTTATTATCGTGGACTAGAAAATCATAACTCGAATAAATATATAATATTTGAAATATAAAATGCAGGATTGAGCATGTTTGGTGGATTACCCAGTTTATACATGACGTAAAAAGTGTTATTTATATGATATTGTGTATAAAAAATTCTCTCTCGTGGTATAAGCTCTGCATGTGGTAAAATACAAAGTCTACAAATCCGAACGAAGGTATGAAATTTACCTATATAATATATATGGTACCTATGGATAATGGATATGTACATTTCAGATGTTTCAGTGAAATGTAAACGTACGATTATAATATTGTTTTTACGAATGACGACAACGGAACGTTCTAAAACGCAGTAGAACATGTTAAAATATATTTTATAGCCCTCCCTCGTGTACACTGTGCACGCACGTCTTGTTCAGCGGATATTGTTCCGTGTTTTTTAATATTTATTTTTTTACGTAATGATTTGTATACTAAAAAAATCCTCGTATGCTTACAATATAAATCCACGTGCAGAAATTTAAATTACACACATATTATAATACCGATGTATATGCAATATATGCATATAATACGTAAGTATATACATATAAAGTAATAAATATTTTCTATGCATAAAATATGCAGATACTTTATATACCTATGATTTCCGTTTTTTTACAGACGAATAAATGTTATATTCTATCTTATACACACAAAATTTTGCACTTAGATCCTATACAATCTAAAGTTTTCCCTTTTTCTGTACTATGCAAAATCAATGAAGATTCATATATTTTTTTAAATAACATAAATAATAATATGCTCTCGAATATGACGTATCTATAATAAAATATGTTTACTTAGTTTATTTGTTTTTATTTGACGGTGTTTAGCCATAATGGATTGTAAGTTTGGCATTTTTCAAAAATAATACGTAATATTTTTATTCACTCTATCTTAAAATTATATTAAAAAAATTAATTAAAAAACAAATAACGTTACGGTTACATTTTATACCCTCACTATTGGCATACTTAACAATAATATAGCATAGAGCAGTTATCTACTAGTTTTTGTGTTATACAAACATGGGAGTTTGTTGTTTTTTTATCATATTGTATATTGCAAGAGAAAAAAGAGAGAAAAGAGTGTGTACACTACGCACCGTAACCGATAGATATAGGGATGTGTTGTAAAAACAATAAATGTCATATTATATTATTGTAAACGGAACGCGTACGAAAGAAAAACGTAATTTAAAAACAGCAAAACTAAAATAAATGAAAAATAGCAAAACACATCAAGGGACCTACGAAAATAATACTACAGATCGACTCATTCGAATCGGCTACAGGTCTGCATATAATATTATGTGATTTACATTAATGTAACTTTATAGTAAGTAAACAATAACAGCTGCGAGTCTAGACTCTAGACGGTTTGGAGAAGCTAAATTTTCCATATAAAGTCGACCCGCAACAGTACTTAGCAGTAGTTTTAGGTACATATGATTGTAATTTTATGTAAATGTATATATATAAATATTTACATGAAATAAATGTTTAATTAAATTAATTAATCGCAGCATGTTATCGCATGTAGATACCGTGTGCGATTAACCAAGCCACCGTATACGAATAATCTTGAGTTTCCAAACTTTATACACTGATCCACGCCGTACAATACGTATTCATACCAATATATATATTTCATGAATTTACACTAGGTATTCTTAATGGTAATATAATAGAATCTATAAAGCAACGGTGGCCTAGAAGTTACGAGTTGAGTTCTGAACGCAAACCGAGAAAGCAAAATACACATACATCACGAATATTATAATATAAATGTGTGTGTTTATGTGTATGTGTGAATGTGTGTGTGCGTACGTACGCGCAGGACCCCCAGAGGTTATATGATGCACACGACAACGCCAGACATTTTCTGCAAAACGTTTTCCTATGCGTCACAGGCGCTTCTGCGATCCTATTTCATCTCGAAAATATAACTAAATAAGCTGAACCAGTGTACTATCATACAAGGAAGGTATGTAGGTATAATAAATAATAGTAATATATACAATATTATTTTTTGCTACCACAGCGGTGGCAAAAGGTTGACGTGTGAATATGCGAGTACATTGTAGATCTCTGAATGTTAGATGACTGTAAAGCTATTAAGTTCCTTCACAAACACCTAAAAATGCAAATGTGTGTGCCTACAGTGTATACAGTAGGTATAAGTGTCTACATGAAAAATGCAAAGTGAACCGGTATTTACGGTTTTTAAATCAAAAACGGGATGGCACATAATCAATAAACGTATCTTTATAATACGACTGTTAATTTATAACACTTAAACGTTAATACCTACAGAAAACTCGATACATTTTGTTAGTGTAATGAATTCAATATAGAACGATATTAATTTAAAGAAAAAAACTAGAGAAGTCATTTTGTTGTACAGTATATCTCGATTTTCAATTTTACCTCATCATAGACGAGACAAATGATAGTTGGTGATGTAGATCACTAAAATTAGTTGAATTAAATTTGAATTCGATCATAAGTTATAGCATATCAAAATACAAAACACTGAACTCAAAGACTATTTAAATTTAAAATTACAAATGTCTATTAAGTACTCAAAAAAATCATTATTTTAAAAATTGTATAATAACTTTATTCGCAGTGCTTAAATATTTTTAATAAAATAGAATAGGGTTGTAATAATAATAATAATAATAATAATAATAATAAAAAAATATTTAAAGAGTTACATTTCTTATTGATTATAAAATAATCAGAAAGGGTGCACTAAAATATATATATAATTTTTATTTTTTTAAAGGGACACTCCGTTCCCCTCCAATTCAAGTACTGAATATTTGATGAAAATGTTAAGACTTTACAACTACTTATTTTTTAATCACAATGAAATAAAAACAAAATACATTTTGTGAAAAACTGATTTTGCGTATCTCCCATCTTAAGTACCAATTAAATCTGACATTCTACGAGAAACCCTCTAGGACAAAGTTGAGGATAAATACATTTTTATTACATACTTCAAAAAGTGACATAAAAAAAACACATAATATCATTGTGAAACCAACACATTCATTGATCGTTTAGAATTTAAAATATGGTTTATTCGCCAGTTTATCGAAAAATTACCTTTAATATTGAAGAATGACTTCACATCAACTGACGTACAACCGGATGAAAAATAAATGAAACTATAACATCCTTTGTTTTGTAGGCCAACACTAAGATTGGGTTACAAGCTGCAGTAACGATGTTGACTATCTATAAATTATTAATAGTTGCGTTCTAAAAACGATTCCAATTTGCGGTTTATTTCATTTTTCCTATCCAATAAGCATTTATTTTATAAAATTCTTAAATTACATTTTTCTTTTTCTAAATTTCGATTTTATTATATTCATAAATTATTTTAGATAATAACTATGACAGGTATCTTGTTATATATTAAATACGAGTTTTGTTTTCAAACTTTAATGAAATTTGGTCAATTTATAGCATCATCAAAATAATTTAAAATTATGAAACCAAAAGTTAAATATATATAAATACCGGGTTGAAAGCGAACATTATTTTTTATGAAATGTAATTAACACTTGGAAATAAATATGAAAAATATATCAGCGTCTATTGTGAAACTAATATAATATGTATATATTATTAGATATTAATATATTAATAAATGTTTGTATGTTACTCGAAATTCCGTTCGCATTAAAAATGATGCTTGAGTGGCTACAGATGTTTAAAGTATGAAGTAAACATTGAAAATAATTCATAAGAAGCGAAAAACGCGAGAAGCTTTGTATATCCGTATTTAGTCTCTGCGTTTCTATTTAATAATTCATACAAATATCTAAATAAATAATAAATATATTACGTATAGTTCAACGTACATTGTTGTGGAGGTGGGTTCAATTTCCCAAAGTCACGTGAAAACTTTGTTATTCCTTCTAAATCGTGTTTATTTTAATAACACGCATGAATCGATTAAAACAAATATAAATCGTTCTTTTATAATATTCATCGACGGAATAGAAACTGTTTGATTCCGTTCACGCAACGCGTTATACAATATCGAGGCGTTTATTTTTTATTTTCCATTAGTACCTACAATTTTTCCGACAAAAGTCTGTATAAAATCATAGTATTATTATCGTTTATTATTGATATAAAATTATATTATATAATGCATTATACAAT